TATCGATTGATTAATAGATTTTTAATATTTTTTCCAAACATCTTGGGTTCTAAAATTAGTAATATGTATCCAATTCAAAATATGTTAAAAATCGATTCTGTTAAAATTTAAATAACGAAAATCTGTAAAAACCCATAATTGTCTCAAGATTTCTATATAAAAGTTGAACGCTTATGGTAAAATTTCCATCAATTACAACTTTTTATAATATTTTTTATATATTCTGAATAGATAGCGGTCGATTTCTATATTTCATCTATTTTCGAGAAGTTTTCTGTTAAAAGCAGCAATCCATAAAATTTTATAGGAGAAGAAAAAACAATTTTAATCCAGCAAAAACTTGTTAATGAATTCTACAACTTACGTTTCAATGTTTACTACATATCGTCTGCATTACTTTTAAGTACTTTAATAATAACTTACATATAATCATATATGTACGTATGCACGTTATTTTGAGTTTTGCCGTTTTGTTCGCAAATTGTATTGTACACCACTTTAGTGGTGAGGCTATATTATGTTCGCCCAATACCTTACAGTATACCAATAGACTTAGAATCATTTTCTGAGTCGCTTAAGTCATGTCCGTCCGTCTGGCTGTTCATGTAAAGCTTGTGTGCAATTACAGGTCGGAATTTTTAGGATAATTGGATGAAATTTGGCACGTACGATTTTTTTTTTAAAAAGCTGCACAATTTGGTTTTATGCAAGTTTTAGATGACCTTTCAAATCTTATAAAGATCGTGCCTCATTTGACCCTAGCTCTCACACAAAGTTCCCTTCAGAAAATTACTTTAATGTCCAAAATTCACTTATAAACACTAATATCGCTAAATTCGCACAAATATTATTATTCAAATTTTATAGGGATCGGTCAATATTTACCCCTAGCCCCCATATATATGTATCATCTTTCAGAAAATTGGTTTTTCGTCCCTTAATTGCTTAAATATATACTTTATTATGAAAAATTAATATTCATATCTAGTGCATGGTATCATATGGGCGGCCACGCCCTATTATACATACTTGCTTACTTGTTTGGTGTGAAAACAATTATATAAGTACGACAGCGAACTAAGGAACAAGAGGACTAGGTTCGTATACGGTGTGAGCAAGTTTATTGTGTAACTCCCTATTTATAAGTACTTATTTATGTAGTTATTTGTACGTGCGTAATAAGTATTTGGCTATGATGTTATTACTGTGTTAAAATAACGAGTTAAAATGCTATTAAACAATTAGTACTCCACCAGTATAAACGTTTTCAAGTATTAACTGGTCTTCACCAAGGTATAAACAGTTGAGTTTTATGGTATCAACCAGATTATAAATCGTTTAAGTATTTTATGATCTCCACCAGTCAAAACATAAGCTTACTTCGAGGTAATGACTGCACGAGGCTGCCACAGGCAATACATAACAGGACAGTTCCTTTATAAAACACAATATTCATTCCTTATTCCTTAAACCTGAATTGAGTCTACAAGAGACACCAGAGGATTTGTTTTGTAAAACATATTACTTTGAGTTTAAAACTCATATTGGAACAATTTTTAAGATGAGTGCAAAAATTTATACTTCCTATATGATCATAAAAAGTTTATTTTTTAAACTAAGGTCACACAAGGCAAGTGATTACTCATAAAGGCTTAACTACAAGTTTTAGCAAAATTTCCTTTAAAGTTGTTTAGAGCTTGTATATAAACAAATATATATGCATATGTATGTAAGTACATACATACATATGTATATAGTATATTCTCATGTAAATATACATATTTTTACATTAAGGTTTTAAAAAAAAAAACAAAAATATATTAAATAAAACTTAATAAAATTTTAAATATTTATAGAAATATGGTCTTAAAACATTGACAACTTTTTTTAACAGCTTAAAAGTTATATTTACATTCAAGTAAGATCAAAACAAATAACAAAATATTCTTGAATATATCAGAACATTTGGCGCACGCATAAAATTACAAATTAAAATTTTATTACACATTTAGAATAAAATAAAATTTTAATTAAAAAAACAATTTATTTCGATCAGGAACCGGAACATATGAAGAAAAAATACATTATAATAAATTACAAAGAGTTTTTTAAAAATAGGTGTTTTATGTAAATCTGAAATGTTCTATACTAACTTATTTTAGGGGAGATCTGAAAAAAATATTAATATTACTTTCAAGCTATAAATTTTTCAAAACTCATTTTAAAATTACAATATTTCTTTCACTTTTTAAAATTCTGTAAAAACATTTGTTGATTGTTTACTTTATACTATAAAGTAATTTGTTTACTTTTATAAGGGACCCTTATTAGCAATTTTATACTATTTTATGCATTTTAACAAAACTCACTGCCAATGAAAAGTAAAACCAAAATATGTATACAATTTCATAAAATTCAAGATCAATGTTACTCATATTTCTGCTCACATTTACTTCAATTAAAATAAATTGAAATGAAAATGTCTATTACAATATAAATTGTAAACAAGTTTTCTAAACAAAAAAAAAAATAATAAATAAAAGCAAAATAAAACCACAATTAAACGTGTTTTACTGTCTAGCTAAAGTGATATTGCCAATTTGCTGCCAACTCATCCGATACATTCATTTTACGATAATCTTATTAAATAAAATTTGCACGTACGAATTGTGCGTTGGAAAAAAGAGACTTAACTTAATATTCACAAATGGTTACAAATATAGTTATAGATTGATTTGAGGCAAAAATCTTAATGAATTTTTATTTAAAACTCACTCAACACCCTATAAGATTAAGAGTAACAGGTGCTAAGGAAGAGATTAAAAGATGTATTAGAATAAAACATAAATAACTTATTCAAATAGTTTATTTTTTGAAAGCATAACAAAATCATTAAAAAATATTTTTTATATTCCACTTTCACAAGCTAATGTTTTTGTATTAGAATTTAAGTAGGATACATACCCAGCAAAAACATGATAATTACCTGTAATTACCCAATAACTTACTTTTTAATGAATACTACATACCGTCTGCATTACTTAATAGTAACTTTATATGAAAATACTTACTTTTTATACTTTAAATTTGATTTTGAATTTTATTTTTTACACAGAACGGAAAAAACAATGCCACTTATCTCAACGCCTTATTAGCAAGCAATCGTGGTAAGTAGTTATTTAACTCCCTATTTGTAAGCAAGTGTAGTAAGTGCTTGCCTCCAATGTCATCACAGTGTGAAAATAATGACGTAAAATGCTATTGTTTAAGTAAATTTTAACATTTCAACCCCGAGCTTAATAATAAAATCTTTTGCTGGGTATAGTGCTCTGAATCGAACACCCAATTCGGTTTCTAAAATTTTTAAAATCTCATTATCAGTTTGTTCCAAATTTCATTTAATATTTTTAACTTTCTAATGTATTGTTATTTTTTTTTTTTTAACAATTAGGTCTTATTTACATAAACGTGATCTTTTTATTCTAATAAATCTAGTTCGAATTTGAAAAAACACAAAAATATCTCAACAACAAGATTTGAAATTATTAAATTAAAAATTTACATAAAAAACAAACATTTTTTCCCTAATAAAAAAAAAATAAATATTCATTTAATACAAAATATATTAAATTTACAGGCATGTCATTCCACTCAGATTGATTTCCCATAGTTAATATTCCATTTCACTTAATTTTAGTAGGTACATATCTTAAAATACAAACGAAATTTTTAATAATAAAAATTAAGAAAACTCGATCTCAACGTGCCAATATGAGAAGGAGGACAATTCTTTAAGGACAACTTTAATAAAAGCAAAATTAAACTAATTGAAAACCAAGCAATTTTGAATTAAGTGTTTTGAATATAATCGCGGTTATCGCGTGAGTTTAGGTACAAAACGTTTGTGGGAAAAACCTTAAATAGTGCTCTATGAGGGTATTATCTCCCGATATTCAGAAAATATTTCTTTTGTTGGTTGGATGAGTGTTAGTTTGTACGTTATTTACTTTTTCTATTAAAGAATTTACATATATACAGTGATGGAAAAAATAATAGAAACGACATTATTTTGTGATGAAAACTAAAAACTTTCTCAAATACTAACCGTTAGAATTTGATGATTTGTATCTTAAATAAAATGTATTTAACTCTACTTTCATATGATAAATGGATTTTATAAGTTTTTTTGCGCCGTCGTATTTTATTAGTATTTAAAAAATTTGGCATTGGAAAAAATAATCGAAACGATTTCTTTGTATTAGACTGGGAACATAATCTAATGTTTCTAAAACGGGGTTTTTCTATTTATTTTTGAAAAATGCATTAAAAAGACCTTAATTGAGATTTTTATAATTTTTTTTTTTTTCAATATTTCATACAAAGAAAATGTACTTGTAAGAAATGAAAGCTCTCCGAAAGGTGCTTTTAATTTGATAAATGGTGACCCAGCTCACCAAATATTGTCAAAAAATTAGAGAAACAATATCTTAGAATACACCAAATATTTTTATTTTCAGTGGGAAACATCAATCAGTATCTTGTTTTTTTCTCCATACAAATAGAGCCACCCAAATGTACAAAGATATATTGTTCATTTACAACAATACCGACATAAATCAAAAACTTCATTTTGAGTAAAACAGCATTACAATTTATTCGAATTTTAAGGTCCAGTTTGCGAGCACTTTTAGTTAAAATTTTCTTATTATAACAAAAACAAAATACATGTAAAGTTGTTACTCAAAGTACTAAAGCGTTATCTGGAAACTACACATAAAAAAACTTTCAAACAGATCGACGGATTTGAAAAGTATATACATATTAGGATATATACATAAATTGGGTGTTAATATGTTGCTCATCTAAACTTAAATTCAATTTGTACAAACAAAATATCACTCACACACCGAATAGACATTTTTATTTTCTAGTACACACCTGAATTTTGGATTACGCCAGTCTTGTAGTGGATAAGCGATGTGTATAAATTTTCCCAACAATTTTTTTTATAAAAATCACTGAAATTTATATTTATTACAATCTTAACAAAACTATTTTAAGAACATAGGTAGTAAATGTATTAATTTTAATACAGTCATAGCTAAAACAAATACACATGCATGTAGTTACAATTGTCATTCCTCTTCCTTTTTTTCTTGTCTCAATGTCTCCTGATATTCATCATATTGTTCTTGGGTCATTAGACTGGCTTTGATTTCTTCACAATGTTCTGGTTTGGGTAAGACAATAGCAAAATAACCTTCTCCTTCGGGTAAGCTCGCCAATAATTCTGGATGTTCCGAAATTTCAGTATTTACCTCAACCAATTTACTACGCACACAACTGGGAACTTTATATACCTCACCAGTTTTGGAGGCTAATAGAGCGAGTGTGGAATCTGCTTGCAAAATCATACCACCCTTTTTACCCTTACCCTTAACGGTATTTTTACTACGATCCATTTGTCCAATATCGAAGTTAATGCTGGCAATACCGCTTTGAAGGGCGGGATGTTCGGGTGCCAGGCATATTAAACAAATGCGATTGGAGTGGAATAAAACTTTGTAGGGGGCCTGATCGGCACCTTTCTTAATGTAATAGTAACGTGTAAAGAAACGATCAACAACAGAAGGAAAATTTTCTATGAATTCATCGGTTATAGGTTTAACATCTTGGCCGCAAATGTTGTGGGGTTCCGGTTGGAAATAGAATTCAGCTAAAGGATCAGTGTGCATTTTGTTGCTGTTTATTGATTTTGATTTAAACGACTCTTCAATTCAGCTTGTCTTTCACGGGCCTTCGCTCTATTGGCAGCAGATCGGGCAATACGTTCTTGTTTCAGACACTTGACCACCGCCGAATCGAATGAATTACAGATTCCTATAAATTTGGCAAATTTATTCTGCCCAAATAGTTTGGAATTAGTTTTGTGGTTATATAAACAATGATTTATTTACATTCAAGCAATTAGAGTACACTTACCTCTTCGTGACACTTTTTTAAATCATCTATTAATTGATTGCAATGAGGAGTATGCAAATGTGGTGATAAATCTGTGTGCATTTTCTTCCCAGCCACAAATAATGCTTTATTTTTTATTTATTACAAGAAGTCGGCTCCAAAACACAATGTTTTTCTTTTTTTACGAGACAACAACAAATTATTAATGCGAAATGTCAAATTGAACAGTTGTTTGATAAATGTGTGAAGGGTGAGAGATTGAGAGAAATGTTGTAGAACAGTTAAATCAGAGTTGTTTTCTAAGAAGACACTAATGGCCGTTAATAGTATATTTTTAAATAATTTAAAGTTTAAATTTTTTGAAATATTAGTTGCGGGAAATGTATAACGAAGATTTTTGGACACTTATAATTTTTAATCTAGTGAACATGTAATATTAAATGGAAATTTTTAATATATTATAGCATACATAAAACATATATGTATGCAAAGTTATTGAATAATAAATAAAATGTTTTAATTAGATTGTCTGACAGCAAAAAATTACTCAACAAGTGACCAAAATCAGTTTATAGATCTAGTTAAGTAGATCACCCATATCATTTTTAAAACTGGAAGATGTTTAATGCCATTTTATTTTTAAACGTTTCATATAGTTTTATCTATTTTCAAACTAAACCTAAAAACTTAAATAAAAGTTTTCACTCATATTTGATAAATAAACATTTTGTTTAAGTTCAGATATGAAACATATTAACATCAACTATTTCTATCACGTTTCATTTTTCAAATCGCGTATCTGTTTAAAATTTATTCAAAAAATATTAAATTTCATAAAAGTCTCAATGCCTTTTACATCTTCCCTAATTATTTACAATTGGTATAACAGTTTATATAAAAAATACCGTTTTTACACGCCACGACTGTATAAATAAACAATTTTTGTACTGGCAACTCTGCAACAAAAACAAAACAATGCAACATGTGCACATGATGTGAGAAAGAACACAACAATTCCAGCTGTTTACAAACAAAACGTGTTCGCCTTCGTAAAAAAATACGAATAATTTTATTATTATTTTCTTAAAATTAATTAAATTTAAACAAAATGTCTGCAAATAAACGTAAAAATTTAAATGCCATGGAAGAGGACCCCAGTGAATCTGATTCAGAAACCTCAAGCGATGATGAAGACGATGGTCCCCACCCAGATGCCTACACTGGAAATGAAGTAAGTTTTTAGTGGAATTAATACAATATGAATATTTACTGAATTTTAAATTTTAGGAAGTTGTAATTGACTTTGAAGGTCGTGCACCCATTGATCCAGATTGTCATGGCATTTCCCAGTTACTGCAAAGAGTATTCCTAAAAGCTCACATTAATTGCATGCAAATGGCTGATTTGATAATTGGTAAACAAGTGATTAATATAAAATCTGATTAACTATTTTAACACACTTCCTTTATTGTTTAGCCCAAAATTTCGTAGGCAGCGTTATCTGTCAATGTGAAGCTGATGGCATTGAAAGTGATGCCGATGATGATATGTGCGAAGATGGCACTATTTTTGGTATAACTACCGTTTTAAATATTACCGCTAAAAAAGATGTGCCCTGTATTGAGCAGTTCCGTTCTTTTGTTGTACAAAAGGCCGAGAAACATGCCACGGATGCTGTGTTGAAACATTTCCGTGATGTCTTAGGCAATGAGGCCAGACCAATTGGTTATCTGATCAATGAACGTTTCATTAATATACCAGCACAAATATCTGTGCCTTTAATGGAAAATCTTTATAAGGAAATCACTACCGCCAAACAAAAAGGCATGCCTTATAATTTTGTCTATTTCCTTATGATCATTAAGTTCTATCGCAAGGAAGCCAAGAAGGGTAAGCCCAAGGAAGATACCTATACAAATGCCGAAGAAGAATTGTTGGCTGAAAAGGCGGTCAGTTCATTTGAGTATTCTGTGGCCGATGAATGTGACATGGGTATGTCTGGCGATTGGTTGGAAGGTGATGCTGCTTTAACACCTTATAGAAAGGTGTTGTTATTTGATGCTAAGAATTTCCCTGAACTAATATTCGATATACAAAAGTATATCAATGGACAATAAATGTGTTACATGTATGAGACGTTCTAAACAATAGTATTTATATTAAGGAGTATGAAAATTTGTATATTATAGAGAAATATACATATAACAGAAATTGAAATTAAATAAAATTATTTTTTAATAAAATAAAATGTTTCTGTGAAAATTAAATTATTTCTTGAAAGGCTTTCGATTAATCATGATATGTGTATGTATGTAAGCTCATAATAAGTTAATCATGTGTAATGTGTATTCTTGCCAAACGGAGAAAATTTTGATTCGAATTGAAATGCAGAATAGGGATGATAAATACATAACTATAGATATTATTAACTTATTATGAGCTTTGTTCGAAAAAGTCATCAGTGATTTGCTCCGGCTGTCGCCAACAAATCATTTATGATTTAACATTGTCCTGTACGCATCATCGATGATGTCTTCAAGATTTGGCCAAGAGGGTACTTTCCTCTGTTGGACGCACTTCTACATATGTCTACATTTAGAAGGAGCTATAGGCTGTAACAAATCTTGATTGGATGCCATCTACTTTTATATAAAAAATTTGGATGTGGACCCTTAACAAATTTCTAATTAAAAATTTATGAAATTCTGTAATCACATTTCTAAAATTTGCGTCAAAATTTACTTTATTCGTCTTTCTCACAGTTCATTGGCTTAAATATTTGCATTAAATATTTAATATTATTTACTTTAACATTGAAAATTACAGTTATTTGGTATCCCCTATATTTTGATAATATTTCGTATAACAGTTAACTTAACATAACCTCATTATTATGGAAACATAACAAAGAGAAACAATAAACAAATATAACAACTCTGCTATTGGAGATTTTTCTTTCTTACCTTTTGTTGTTATCAAAAATGAATACGCAAAATCCAGCTGTTTTTTGTTTTTATTGCAAAAAATGAGCCGGCAAAAAATTTCTATTCAACACAAAACAACAACATTGTCTGACTAATGATAAAGAAAGCATTTAAAGAAAACGTGTTTCCTTGGCCATTACAAAATTGAATAAAAAGAAACTTTAATTACAAGGTTTAACTTTGATCCAAGTAAGTAATAACAAAGAAAATGATACATCCATTTTACATTAGATTTGTGTAGTTGAAGTTTGATATCGTTGTCAGTTGTAGGTGCTGATGACGAACAAGCCTTTGGCTGAACACATTCGTTTAATAATTGATAAGCGATATAAAAACGTTTGAGTGTGAATAAGTGACTGACTGACCGACTTTCTGTTGGTCTGTAGTTTTGTGTGTAGATGTAGTTCTAGAGATTCGTGTTGTTCGGCTTGCAATTTATTAATTTCTGGTTGTGGAACTTGTGTTTAAAAGTTAATTTTTATAAATATTTTATTTCAGTTGTTTGCCAGACTTCAAATCGTTGGGGTTTTTTTCTTACGGAACTCTTTCAACAATTTCTTTACGATATTGTTGCTATTTTTTTTATTTGAAGTCGTCATCAGCTGTTGGGTAAAAAAAGAAAAGCGAAAAAAATTCCATATCTACAGTTAAGAGGAGCAGTAAAATATTTTCTAAATATCATCATCCTCAACAGCAGCAAACATGGGGCTCGATAAGTAAGTAAACATCTTATTATGTACAGACTTGGTTAATAAGTAAAATTTTATAATTTCTTTGTTTGAAATTCTTGAATTCGTTTATCTAAATATATCATCGGGTAAAAGTGTTTTAATAAAGTGTAGGAAAAAATTTATTGGGGAATTACAATATTTTCATTTCGAAATTAACAAAAATTGTTAATTGTATGTAGTTTCTAGGTAAACAGCATGATACCACCATAACCAGGTTATTGTTATATTATGGGTAAACAATCTAATTTTATTAATTTAAATTTGTGTAAAACAATTTGTTTATTAGAGGGGCATAACCTTTTTTGTGCTGACACACGTTAAGACCAATGTTATAATAATATAGAAATTTCAATAGATTTTCAAGTTATGGGATTGATTGTGCCATCCAGTAGGTTAGTGTTCTAGTCTGGTAGACCGGAGGTGGTGGGTTCGTTTCCCTCCTGAGGCACTGGTAAAGGAGCGCACAACAGGCCCGATAGAGGCCTAGGGGTATTTCTTCGGATTTGATGTATATACATAATGCTTTCAAAATAACTAACTTTCTAACTATGGGATTTGATAAATAATTTTAGATTTTAGAGAAAAATCACCTATGGAACTATCTTAAATTTCAAATATTGTATGAAGGAAATATAACCCAGTTCAACTTTAATTGCCTACAAGGATTGTTTTTTTTTTTTTAAATTTTTGTAAAAAAAATTAATTTTGTTGTATTAACCAACATTAAAGAATCAGATTAGAATCGCTTTCTGGGTCGATAAAGCTATTTCTGTCCATCTGTATGTCCATGTAATCTTGATAAAATTTAGCACATCCCAGCAAAAAAATAATGGAAGTCATACTTTACAAACGACCTCTTAATCACATCAAAAATGCGATTACATATTTTTCGCATTTATAATCCAAGAATTCCTTTAAATATAATAATGAGGAACAAGTCAATGGTGAAAATTCAATGATATTTATATAAAAGTGTTATTGGAAGAATGTGGTTTATTTTTGACATCCAAATATAGGATTTTTATTGCATCAAAAAATAAGATTTGATCTACTTCAAAGTTGTCAGAAACGTACAATATCCATCCACTGACAAGCTAATGTAAAACTCATTAATTTATTACCAAAACTGGGAAGTACTTCAAGTTATTTGTGGTGAAAATTCTAAATCTTTTTTCTATTTTTTTTTTTGCTAAGTTGAAATCGGTACATTATTTCACATAGCACCCATGCGACATATCCCCGAAAAGAGCTTTTTCCAATTTCTTTATTCCAATTAAAAAAAACAAAAAAACAAGTAAGAAATTATAGTCGGGTGAGGCCGACCATATAATACCCTACACCTTTGACAAAAATATAATGTGATTTAGTTGACGTAATAAAGCATTTAAGTTGAATTGTACCATGCCTTAGATATACATACTTAAGCCGTTTATTGTTGAATAAAATTGTGGACATTTAAATGAAATTGGGGCTTTTCATGGAATTCGTGAGGGTCATCAAGTCTTGTATACAACTTGGTTTTTGCAGC